CACACGAACACTATAATTGTACTGGTACCATTAACCTCCGTCATTACGATCACTGTTAGCGCTGCCAGGGTGGTCGAACTCCTCGTTCACTTCGTATACGTTGCTCTCGAGGCCACGGTGACGTAACATCGCGATATCTGTATGTGTATAGAATATCTCCCTCAATTTGAAGTATGTACTACATACATCTGAAATATTTTTGTTTTTGTTTTTTGATTATACGGAAAAATACTAAATTTACTTATTTTGAAGAGATATAAACAAGCAAAATTTTTATAATTTTAAATTAATCTTTTTTGATCGAATCTCTTATTATATACGTATTAATGAAAATCATTCCGTTATGAAAAAGACATGAATGACTTTCAAATATTTTAAACTGAGGAAAAAGATAACTTTTTTAGAAGAAAATTTTTTTATCGATTATAATATTTGTTCTTTCCCTAACCGCAAAATAGTTATTTTCTTACGTATTTTTGCATGTTATTGAAATAGAAAATAGAGAAAAATATTTGATGAATTGATTTAATTATTATTTTACTATCTCGTTAATTAAAAATAAAAAAAGCTTCCTTTCTGCAACTTTTTCTATATTTCCAAACTATAGTTAAACAAAATTATCTTAGAGAACAGCTAGAAAACTGTTTATTATCATTTAATATTATTATTATAGGACACATTTTGAGTTGTTACAATATTAATATTATAAATAATGTTTTTTTATTTAAAAATATTCAAGAGATTTTTCTGCAATTTTGTTTTTGATAGAGACAAAAATTTTTTTGTTAATAATAAGCCTTAATTTTTATTTCATCATGCTGTTTTCTTTTTTGCTAAGTACATTTCAAACATAATAAAATATTCGTGCGAATTTAGTAGGTCAGACTCTTTCAATAAATAGGCATATTGAAGCACCGAAACATCGGTATCGTAATCAGTATAGTCAATGCTACTCTTGAGAGTTTTAAGCCGACTGGCGGCGCGGCGGCTCGAATCTCGAAGTCTCGAGTTCGCAATTCAGGGACGAGAAATTAGCATCTCTCGATCGAAAATCGCATCGCTCAAATCCATCCTCTGTGAGTCAGCCTGGTACACGTCGCTCGCCGCTTCGTCACGTGTCGGAACCACCCTCTCTTAAAACCCCTTCGCCACCCTCTGTCCTTACTACAACCCGGCAGCCACGTGCTGTTGTTTGGAGTCAAAATCACTGTTCGCGCGACTCCGTATATCGAACTCAAGAACCGCCGGCAGGCAACCACAGTCACTGCCGGTATTATTGATCAAAACTCTGCCCATCATCTGACAGCTTGTTGTCCGCAGTTGCCATGGCAAGTCCGACAGCTCGATCATTCCAATTCCTGGCGCGGATCGACTTCTTTTCTCGCTCGTTAACTCTCGCGACTGCCTTGTTTGTCTTCCTCTCTTTTTTCCCCTTTTTCTTCAACTAGGATTCTTCATATTTGCATGGCCTTGCCTTGTTGACGAAGGAAACCAACTTTGAACTCATTTCTTCGTCCCAATGGTCTTTTTTCTGTTGATCCTTAGTTTTTACAAATATACGCTAGCCCTCGGCTACATGTTCTACATTCCGTCGCTGCATTCTTATTTCTCTTCTTATCCATTTTATTTGATTCCACAAGCTTCTCTCATTAATTTGATTCTTTTCTCTTCTGCATTTGACATCTAGTACTGATACATAACAATTTTATTTCTATCTCTTATTTTTTCTCGATGTTACTTGAAAATGGATAATGGATAAATTATAATATGCCAAATATATAGAAACAGTCGTGACTCGTGACAATTGAAACATTTCCTGCACATTTCGAAAAATCGACCTTGCGTATCGATTCAATTGGTTAAATCCTCCCGAGAAGTGGGTTACAATTTCGCCGGTTACATGCCGGCGATAGCGCAAATTACAGTCAGAAACTTTTGGTGAATCGACGATTAGAGCTTGGAGCTGCCTTAATTGACGTCCTTATCAGCAAACTTTGGCAACCTCGAGCATTGCCAAGAAATTTTCGATTTGCCCCGTTTCTACCTATTATTCGGGATTGATAGTGAAGGAGGGAGAAGGAAGATTAGGTCTGATTACACTCCTCTCCCCCCTCCTTCACGGTTAATCGATCTCCATTTGAAATTGTTGCGAAAATACACTATTGGCGAATAGTTTAAGTTATCGGTGTATTTTATTTGCTGTACATCCTCTTTTGATTACTTTCAATAAATTGTATCGTAAATCTGTTGTACACAGTGTATCTTTGTAATTTAAGTATCAGCATGTAATTATTTTCCCTTAGCTAGGAATAATTTTTTAATTGTTTCCGAAATCAACTTTCTCCCCATAGACCAATCTATTGAATCAGATAAAAAATTAACTATTTGATTGTCGTATTTGACTTTTCTTTGTTAAATAATTAAAAATAATACATGCCAATTTGTGGGACTGGAAGAGAGTTATTGATGTGAAAAGTTATTAATAGTTTCTTAGGTACTTTTGAAGGGAAGAAAACTTACTTACACATGTATTGTTATATTCTAGATATGGACGAGAATATGTCGTCTGGTCTCTTTGACTCCTCCTTTGAGCCAACTGATTTCGACAACAGCGAAGTGTCGAAATTGCAAATATCCTTTGATATATAGAATAATTAAGAACTAAAGATTGAACCTAAAAAATTACCTTAGATTTAAAAATACGAAAGAATGTTAATGATTTTATTTGCATGATAGACCAGTCAATTTAAACATAAGTAAAAACATTTATTGGGACAGTTATGAATTTTTGATGATTCTTAAAGATGGCGTCCTTAGTCAAGAATCCAATGAGATCTATTAAATAGGGGGTCGGGCTAAACCGCCATTTTGTTTTTTAAAGGACTCAAAACAGTTTTTGCGGAATATCTCATTTTCGCTTGATTTTTCGTTAAAAATGGTTATTATCAATCTTGTAGAGAAAAAAATTCTCTACAACTTTTGTCTAGGACTTTTTTCGTGCAGTGAATAACACGTTCTGAGTTACAGCCGCGTACAGAAGCTACGCACAGTACAAAAAAAGTTCTAGACAAAAGTTGTAGAGAATTTTTTTTTTACAAGATTGATAACTATGTTTAATGAAAAATCAAGCGGAAACGAGATATTCCGCAAAAACCGTTTTTACTCCCCTAAGAAACAAAATGGCGGCTTGTCCCGATCTCCTTTTTAATATTATAGATTTCATCGGATTCTTGACCTGGAGCGCCAACTTTATAAATCATCAAAAATTTATTACCATTTTAACAAATTTTTTTTATTTGACAAAATGTATGTATACATTAACTGGCCTATAAATTTTAAAAAGCAAATATAATGCTTAAAGGTTTTATACGATTGATTTATCAATGACATTAAAATCTAAGAAATAAAAATATACATCTTTCCATTTTGCAAAATTAAATAATAGCATTGAAAATAAAAGAGAGTTCTTTCAGCATCATATTTGCCTTTCAAAATTATATTTAAGATATATAATTGGTATTATTTTCAACATTTTTACACAATTTTCTTTCGAATAATGTTTATCAAGCTGATCAATCCTTAACACGTTTGTCAATCGTTACGCTCTACTGGAAGATAAACATCTCATTCTTGATACGGAATGTTTACTACAGGCGCTGGAACAATGTTTCTCTGTATGTCCAATTGAATCGCTCGACGAGCGAATTTTCAAAAAAGTTTTGCCGAAAGCTCAACACTTTCTGTCACAGGTAATTTTATAAAAAAAATTCGGTAATTATTTACTAATATGGACCACCCTCCGATGACCTAGACCTTGACATATGTTATCCTCCTGAGTGACCTTCAGAAGTTTTTAGCCGGCGGTCGTTATTCGTTAAAAAGTTATCAACAAAAAAAGTTTCGAAAATATAGCAGCTATTTTGAGTATTGAGAGGCATAAACGACTAATATTACGTTTTTTTTTTTAAAGCAGAGAATACTTTATTTCGCGAGGAAGTCGCTGCTTTACCAAAACACAACATTTAAAGCAGTAAATTGTTGATAAATTAAAGTTTTTGTTAAAGCAGAGAATACTTTATTTTGCGAGAAATCGCTGCTTTACCAAAAAAAGAAATTACAGGACGAAATGATAATAATTACTATAATATTTATTCATTTATATTTTCTGTTAAAGGATACATAATAGATATTATTTCGAAAAAAGGTCATCGGAGGGTGGTCCGTATTACTAAATAATTACCAAAAATTCATTATATCTAGTTTAGCACATATATATATATATATATACATATATATATATATATATATATATATATATATATATATATATATATATTAATTGCTGGATGCATAAGAAGTGGTTTTAAGACTTTATAACATATTTACTTTTTTTGACGATGTTCTCCAATATCTTTAATCACGTTTTTTTCTTCCAAATAATTTAACTCTCTTTTGACAGTATTTAATTTAAAGTTATTATAGTAATTATATTCTTCTGCTGTTTGAGTTTTTGCAAACCTCATTAGGGAAGTCATGCATCCAAAGGTTAATTATTTTTCATGCATTTATATCACACCTACATGCATATGAAGTAAATTGTAAATGTATTCGTAGTTCGACCCAGACACGATAGGTATTATCGCCTTAGTTTCAATGTTTAAATTTTTTTATTTTTTTTGCAATGGTCTAAAGGTCGTGAAAGTTATAGATGATATAATAACGGGCAATAACGTGAGACTTGACGATCTGGATGGCATCAAGTACAAGCTACAAGTTTGCGATGGGCTTCTTGCCTTTTGGAAGAAATGCGTAGAACATATTTCCGCGTTCGAGAAAGTTCAAGCTGCCTACGTAGCATCATTATGCGACATTCTACCAGAAACAACGAAAATAATTTTCGAGCATTGCAAAGACAGGTACGTTTCGACAAACAACAAACAACGCGCTTACTCGAAACTTTTCATACAAAAATATAGTCAAATGTTTATATTGTGAATTCCCCTATTGTGAATTGAACGTTTGTCAAGTGAACAATATACACAAATGTTTACACGGAGAAAATTTCATGTTAAATTTTACTATGCTGCCGCACCAACTGCGGACCATCAAGACGCCCAAGTTTAAATGCTATAGTCTTATAGTAAAATTACTATGTCCATCATAGCATCATTATAGCATTGAATGCTATGATCGTAGCATTTGGGGGGGGGGGGGCGTCCGCAGTTGGTGCGGCAGCATAGTAAAATTTAACATAAAATTTTCTCCGTGTATACTTAACTAGATCGTTAATTCCGTGAAAAAAAGTATGTCGGCAGGATTTCGGGGTTCGGTCAGGATACCCTCTCAAGAAATGGCCGCTCACGTAACACACGCATGCCAAGACATGCCCGCCGGGTATCACATACGCACTAACACACGTACCGCCGCTATTTTTTCTGGGGGCCGGCCGTCACAACTTTTCCATAGCCAAAGCCCAAAGTTAACGATCTAGTTAAGTATAAAACATAATATAAACATATGTGATAATATATAAATAAAAATCAATTAATAATTGACTCTTTTAATTTAGTTAATTTTATTATAGTTATTTTTGTTATTATTTATTCAGTATAATTTTATATAATCTAAGGGTACGTTTTCACCTGACGCTATGACGCTGAATTTTTCAACAGACGTTAGCGTTATTAGCATCCAAGCGTAAAGGCCTCAGTACAATGAAAAATATAAGGAACAAGGGACAGATATTAGCGATTAGGACTAAAGAATCAAGAATAAAGTTGAATGTACGATGAAAAATACAGGCAACAGAAACAGGGAACAACAGACAATAGATTTTTAACTTATCGGAAGCCGTGTTTTAATACTACACCAGGTTTATTCCTGATTTCTTATTTCTAATCGCTAATATCTGTTCCTTGTTCCTTATATTTTTCATTGTGCGGTGGCCTTTAAGGTCCCCGTAGAATATAAAAAATATAAGGAACAAGGAGATAGGGGAGACCGGAACTAGTTGGTACACTTTTTTCAGTGATTTTTTTACAAGCCACAAAAGAATTTTTCAATAGTCACATGCTTATATAACACAAAAATAATTTTTTTAACTGAATAGTATCTATAATTAATTTTATGTAACACGTGCATGGTGATAGACCACTTTCCACGCTCTTGCAACATATGATAAAATAGGGTGTGCAAGCCGTGCGTAAAGATGCGGTGACCGCACTCGCCTTCGGCTCGTGCGTCAACTCCGCACCCGGGAATTTTCATCTTACAGCACTTGTTACACAAATAACTATTGTAACAACTAGCCCCGTATGCGGTGTAAGTTGTTACAGTACTGGATTAAGTTGTGAAAGATCCAGTTTTCAAATTATAATATATTTAATAACAAGAAATAACATGTAACAACATGTGTTATATTACATTTAAATTGTTGAGTGCAACATTACAATATATAAATATAATGTAGCTGATGTTCTGGTATTGACCGGTGTTTTGATGCGTAATAAGAGACGTTAATGGTGAAATCTTACATAAGATAAAAATATCTATTGCACCGAGGTTATGTGTTACATCGACGGAGTTGATCGAAATTATATATAAGTAGAAAGCTGTAACAACCTACCTCGTCACAACCAGCCCCGACCTGCTATATTTAGATATTTTGATTATTGCTTAAAAAAATGTTTTAAGACATTAATATAACTGGAAGTTATTACGTTTAAAGTAAAGATTTGACCAGATTTATAAATATAATATATAGGGCCGGTTGTTCCAACCTATTGGTAAGCTACCTCTGATAGTTAAATCACAAGTCTATCTTTGTCCAATGTAAAGGATAAACAAAGACAAACATGATTTAACTATTAGGTAGTTTACCAACAGACTGGAACAACCAGCCCTTAATAAATCACTGATTTATTTTACTTTCGGCTGTACAAAAATATTTTCTATTTGTGAAAATACGCTACTCAGCCTGAAATAACTAATTGAAATATTATCACAATGTTTTTGCGGAAATAGTATATTTTTTATGTAATATTATCTTTTGTCACTTTTACAATGATTACTGTGTATCAACTTGCTTTATGTACCAACTAGCCCCGGTCCTGTATTAGCGATTAGGACTAAGGAATCAGGAATAAAGCTGGATGCACAATGAAAAACACAGGCAACAGAAACAGGGAATAACACAGATACAATTGATTTTTAACCTATCAGAAACCATGTATTAATGCTACACCAGCTTTATTCCTGATTTCTTATTCTTAATCGCAGAGAAAAAAGATAATGTTGTATCAACACTCAACAGCATTAGTCTAATTGGAAATAATCTTAATTCAATACGTCATGCTTTTGTTTTAAAAAATAAATATTTTTTAAAATAAAATAAGTATTGTTTTACTAGTACTGTTATTGAATTAACAAGATTATTTCCAATTAGACTAATACTGTTGATATGATACTAAAATAATATAACATTTTTTTCTCTGTGTAATATCTGTTCTTTGTTTCTTATATTTTTGATTGTGCGGGGACCCTTACAGTACTGCAGTTGTGCAGTAATTAGTAACTGCATTGCAAATAGTAATTACTTACTATTGGTTTTTATTATTTATAGTTACATAGAGAATTTTTTCTTAGAAAGTTATAGTAGTTGTGGGACAACATGTACTACGAAGAATTTTATACGAGCTATTCTGATTAATATCTACCATAATAAAAAATATTGAAATTTATTACAATAAAATATAAAATATGTTTGATTAATTTTACTAAAATATATAATAAAATTTCAATAATTTTGAAAAATTATTGAAATTTTACTATATCTAGGTAATTTTTATTACATTGTTTGCAAAATGTCTTTTGTATATTTCAAAAATTTCTTGTTTGCCAAGTTGTCCCAAGTTTGTAGTGAATTTAACGGTAAAATTTAACGAAAAATTCTCTCCGTGTATCGTTATAATTATGTATATTTCTAAAATATTTAATTTGTAATAAATATTTCTTAGAGAATTATAATTTCGTTAAGAATAATAGTGTAGTATAAATCAATTTAATAAATTTTGTGTGTATGCGTGTATGTATGTGCATATATAGAAAATTTAGTTTTTAGTAAATTAAGTTTCTGCTATCTTCTTTTCTGGAAGCCTGCTTCTCTTATTATAATTGCAATTTTTACCTATGGTTTAGTCCATTTAATTTATTGTCATAATCTCTTATTATGATTTTTTATTTTTATTTGATTATTATTATTACTAAATTTTTACAGTATTATATATTTTTATTAATATCACGAATATCGATATATTCTCACGATTTGCTGGTGTTATTATACTAAAAGTATTTTTTCATAAATAAGTGAATAAATAAAATTGTTAGCGAATTTTACAATGTTATATGGAACAAGCCTTGGTTTATCAAATAATGCAGAAAAATAAAGGAACATTGTTAATCGTGTAGCGCAAAATATGGAGCGTTACTGAGCGGTGCGATGCAAGAATTGAGGAATCTGTTTGCGAAAGCGTGCGCGGTCTTCAAGCTATTCTTTGCCACTTTGAACGGCATAATCGTCTTCGACACGGACGTGCAATCGGAAACGGAGCTGTTGACGAAAGGTGAGAGCAATCCCATTACGCCCTAACGACTCTTTAACCTGGGAACTATTTCCAGTGCTATCTCGGGCGCATGCACTCGTAAGGATTTTTCTCCAATAATCCTGTTAACAATAAAAGAAAAAAAATATATGTATCTACAAAGACTTGCGAAACAAATATCTCAAAAATTGCGAAAAATTACTTAGAAACGTACTATTTCAGAATTACAGAATATCTCTTGCTAAAAGTGCAAAGTACAAGTTGCAAGTTTTTTATTGGTCAATTTTGTGTTAACCTTAAAAATGATGCACGATTTTCTTTTTCCTTCTATTACCATATTTTAATGGTAAAAATGTAAACAAATTTTATTGTTACCTGTACAGAACATTCAATAAAATTTTTTCTTTTGAGTAATTTATATATTAATTTCTTAGTGGTTGATGCGTATGGGTACATCGCTTCTATTGCGAACGGAATGGATACCAAGACGTTCGTTGAGTTGTCCGAGATATTTGCCAAGCTGGTCATCGTTTACCAGAGCGAAATCAAACCATACAATATCGCGACGCATTTTATTCGAATGACGAAGGACGTATCTTGCCTTTTGTCCGCCGCTATGGTATATTATTTACACGTGATTTATTTTGAATTAAACTGAAATATGTACATGTACTGTTATTTATTAATTAAATATTAATGTGTATATTATTTATCTTTTTATCTCTATATATTGGTAGTAATTGATAAATGTACAATGATACAGGATCAGAACGATAAGAACGCGGAACGAAATGTAATGGTTGCTATGCGTTTGCTGAGAATCATCGAGAAATTAACATTGTCTTACGGCGCATCTTTCACACACGAGATGATTCTAGACTTGGTAGAACTTCTGGCGCAAATGCACGGGTAACAATTCTGTCATTAACCATTAGTTTTTCAAAATAAAAATCAGTTTCGACGATTGCAAGAACTTTTTCTTATTCACGTATCGCATAAAATCATTATACGTAGTTATTATTATATAGCATTATAGATATAAGCAAATATAATATTATATTCAGAAAGTTATATATAATTATTACTTTTTTTACAGATATTCTTGTTTAATAAAAAGTAGCGAAAGAACAATCTTGGCCGGCGCTACGTCTTTTTTAAATATCATCTTCAGTCATGACAATTTCAAGCAGGTATGTGATGACACATAAAGTTCTAGGCATTTTATGAAACAATATATAAATCATAATGCAATCACATTTCGCCACTATTATAAGCAACTCCGTTTCTAATTCCTTAAAATAGAAAGTAGTTGTAAGTTTGCATGAAATAATATAAAATAATTTATATAAAATGACGAATTTATAAATGTACTATGTTTAAATAATAATTGAAGAATTATTTTGTCAACTATATATTTGTTGAATTATTTATGTAATTGATAAAAATATTTTGAAGAGAAATATGTCTGTATAGTATTTTATAATATGTTATTTCTATATTTTCCCATGTAATAAAAGGAACAAAAATTAATTTTCTAAAATAATATAATTATAATTCCTTGTATTTCTAGGTATATTTTGAGTATGGAAGGCAAAATGTTCCACGTGATCAATATATACGTAGATTAAATTACCATTTACTGACGATCGCTATCATGAAGAAATTGAATGGCATGCCATTCGAACACCATTGCAAGTGGTCTTTAGGCTCAGATTCGATTTTGGATATTGCTTTTACGTACATAGAACATCGTAAGTGACGAAAAGATAAATAATTTATAAGAATTTCAAGAATTTCTAAAAACTTTAACAAAATTTTAAGAATATTAAAATTTTTAAGAATTCTATAAATAATTTTGAAAGTTAATTTTAAGAATCTTGAAATTTTTAAGTGAGAGAAATTATAACTAATTGCACATTACGTTAATTACAATAACCGCACTTGCATCTTTTCTTACTATTCCAAACTTGCAGTTAATGAAGTAAACGCTAATTTCTCTTTCTCACTCATTCGTTCACTTATTCTCAATTGTAGTCGAAGAAGAAATCTGCGTCGGAGACCTGCAACTGTCAAGTGTTCGCGCGATCGGCGAAGGGCCGCGGTTTGTTGGAATTTACGAAGCAACTTTGGTATCTGTTTGCAATTTGGTCAGTCAAATTCTTCCGGAAGATTTTCACGCACTCGAATTGCTTCTACTAAAGCATTTACTGTCCGGTCACCTCTGGTGCTCACTATTAAGCTCGGATGTTTGGTGCTTTATTGGCAGGTAAGCAAGCAAACGCAATCGCTATTATATTAATATTGATACTAATAATTGCTTAACAGAATCTTAATCAGTGCACTTAATTATAAGTTATTAATTTGATCTTAATCAATATTATATCTTATTTGTGTATACATTATTGATTAGAGTGACATATACCCAGATAGCATAGTGACGTCAAATGACGTATTAATTCCGTCATAATGCAGTCTCTAACGTCATTAAGACGGCATTATGACGGAATTAATACGTCATTTGACGTCACTGTGCTATCTGATGGGTATATATATTATATATATATCTTATTAACTTATTAGTAATATATATATTTAATTGATTATTAGATTAATAACACATTGATTATTATTGAGTAATTGTAAACTAATCGAATGCTGATTCCTTATATATCATTTTTTTTTTATGTAAGACTCGGCTCTTCGCAACTATGCGTCGATCACGTTAAACATCTGATTAAAGTTTCTACTGCCTTGGTAGAACGACGCGATAGCATAGAAGCGATCATGATTGACAACATGATTGTCAGATTGTACGATCTGTTAAACGAAGATGTGAAATCCACTCTGTTTGACAATCTTATCGACCATCTGGATGTGGATTATTATGTTACTAGTTTGCATTTGTTAATGGCGAACACCAAATCTCTTTCATCGGAACGATTAAAGCGTAAAATCGAAGACTTGCCGAAGGCTTTCTTAGATCTGCAGGAACACCCTTCTACATGCAATTGGAAGTGCCTTGTAAGATGTACTAAATATATTGGATATATCAATAAGCTTGTTCACTTGTTTTAACTACAAAAATTTTTTATAATTATAGAGAGTTTTCCAGCAAACGACACAAGTCGACACAAACATCGTTCTACCTTTCTTTTTTGGCAATGAGTAACAAAGACAAAATGACACTTGTGTCGTCTGCTGGAAAGCTCCCATTGTCTCAAAATTTAAAATTTTTGTATTGCTTAGAAATCTCATGTTTTAAATTTCTATATTCTTTAAAAATTTAAAGTTTTCTGTTTATATTTTCAGATGCAGGTTGTGTCCGCGATAATAGCAGTGGATTACAGTGATAATAAGGATGTTATTAACGTCCTAACTAAACTATGGAGTTTCGTTGCAGGAACGATTATTGAATGCGAAGGCAAACAACTGGATCTATTGACTGACTTGGTTGTTACCGTACTCGACGCTACTTATCTCAAAAATCTTCATGATGACAGCTTTTATGCGGTATAGCAAAACTCTATTTTATCTATCTACTAATCCCCAATAGGAAAATATTCATATAACGAAATCTGGGTAAACTTATTCGGAATGCTGCAATTATGTCTCAATTTTGCAGCAACACTAATTTAATCCTTTGTGCAAATATTGATAAATATTTGCACAACTTATTTATAAATAGTATTTCAGTAAGATAACAGCGATATGAGGAACTATCTTAGCAGAATATTTGCAAAATTAATTTGGAAAGAAATTGCGAAATAATTGCAAAATAATTGAGAAATATATTTGAGTTTTATTATGTGTTATTCCTGTTTTACGTAGTATATTCTGTGTTTGCTGGGTCGCCGATAGGTGGTATATCCTTTCTCGTACGTAAAATATAATAAACGGTGCTATATATGTAACTATTAATATATCAGTGTTTATATACTGAAGTGTACTAGAGTGATTTTGCTTCTAAATGTCGAAATAATTGTGCAACATTTAAAATTGAATTTCTTAATTTTTGTGCAAATATTATTCAGAAATTTTATGCCGGCAAGAATTAACACTGCGTTATGAGGAATCATCTTGGTACAATAATTGTGAAATTCCTCTTAATTGAATGATGCAATTATTGTACAATATTTGTGCAATTTTCCTATCGGGGATTATTTGCTAACAGAAGTAATTTTTTAATAACAACAGAAATTATAAGAGTATTAGGGCGGCAGTGTGGTCTAGTGGTAGAGCGCCAAACTCGTAATCTGAGGAACCAGGTTCGAGTCCACTAGAGCTATGTAAGCATGGAATGTTTTTCCGATAGCTGCGTCCCTCCGTGCAAGATAGGCTCTTGTGTGGAGAAAACTGGGCTCCGTCTTTCGGAAAAAGACGTTAAGCCGTTGATTCAAAGGGTTAAAGTGAGAGGAGAAGGATAGTATTGGTAGTAGATTGCGAACCCTACGGGGATATGCAATAAATTACGAATTTTACAGGAATTTTTTTATAAGAGTATTAGAACATAATATCAGATATATGTTTGGTTCATATTTCAGATTCTGATATCCGTCGCAACTTCATGTGTCCATCTACCGCCTCGAGGCAAGATCAAGATCTGCCATTTTCTACAACAGAATATCAAATATCTCGGTCGTTGCGGAATCCAAAGCATTGCGTCTATTTTGACTGAATTGTTCAGTCGCTTACTAGAAGACGAAAATCCCTGGGTACGCCAAGAGGCCTTAGAGACCTTTGAACACGTCGGACATGTATGTCCAGAGCAGCTGGTCGCCGAAATAGCGAAAGCATTAGCAAAGATACTCAGCATCAGTAATGTTATGCAAGCTTATTTGACCTCGAAATCATATTATGTCTTCAAGGGTTTTATCAACATGCAAGATTATCTTAGATACTTGGCTAAAGCTGTTCAAAATCATGGCGATAAGCATAGATGTCATGAGTACAACGTAAGTACGATAAGAAAACTTGAACTAAAAAATAAAAGATAATTATTTATTTCAAAGTCCATTCTTTTATCTTAATTTATATCTTTTGCACAAGCAGATCCAATCTATAATGTACAACGTAAGATTATTTTACGCCTATCACTCAAGAATATATCGTTATGAGAAGTATTCTTTTTGAAACAAAATAATTTTGATTTGATATGTTTCTTTGCACAAGTAATAGTTCCAAACATAATTATATTAAAAACTCAAGATAAGACTTTTTGTATAAATAATATACTCAAAAAAATTAGGGGATCACTTTTTGTCAGTAAATTTTTGCTCATTTTTAAACAGTAATTACTCAGCGAATAATTAATGTAAAAAAATTAAAGAAGGGTTTTACAGGGCAAACTCTCTACTATAAAGTGCTTTTGTTCAATTTTTACTCAGGTTAATACTCAAAGGCGTAGTCAGTTTTAAATTGAATAAAGACGTATTTAAGATATCCAAAATCTTGAAATTTGCAGTCTTCCTAACAACAAAAAATTGACGAACATAATCATACATGATACCATCTCGGAATACGGACTTTGCCCTTTCAAATGAAAAAAAACCTTGTCCTACACCGATTATTATTTAGCGAGATATCGCAATTTAAAGTAACCCTTAGAGATTGAGAAAATTCCTTGACGCAGTGCCTCTTCAATCTGATGTAAAAAAAATGCATCAATATGAGATCAAGATTGTGCAATATGCGTGATACGCCGCAGAAATGACAACACTTCTTACTAAAAAAAAACCTCTACATGTACACACATACAAATGAATACTCCATACACATACACATACATGATGTGCAAAATGACCACGTCTTTGAGTCTTAACCTGAGTGAAAATTGAACCAAAGCACCTTTATAATAGAGAGTTTGTCCTGTAAAACCCTTTTTTTAATTATTCGTTGAGTAATTATATAGTTTAAAAATGGGCAAAGTTACTGAGAAAAAATGATCTAATTTTTTTGAACAGTGTATATATATATATATATAATATAATCAAATGCAAAATAGAAAATGCTAATAATGATAAACGAACACAAGGAATCCGAAAGAGAAGAGAAGATGCCGAAGCTGAAGAAGAACTCGCATGAAATCATTGCGCCGATGTTAACACAGCTGGATGAACAAGCGGAAAAGCTGTACAAAGGATTGACGAAGGTGTTAGAAGATCAGGCTGTTATCAGTGAGGATATATGCAGGAGATTGATAACCGTCCTCGAAAAAATTATTCAACTTCAGGGAAACGAAAATTCATGGAACTGATAGTGTTTATCTTTGCGATATAAAGGTGGAAAATAATAAATTATCTATGATAAAGATGAAGGGATTGTTTGTCAAAATGGCAGTAAAATAATTGAAAAAAGGCAAAAAATATTGTGAAAGTAAATGTAAAAATCTGAGAAAAAAATTTCCAAATGAACAATAAAAACATAGAAAAGAATAGATTTAAACATTCTTTTATAATATTCTTTTTTAGTGTACCTTTATTCGAAAAAAATAGTAGTAGCTAAAAAATCATAAAAAGATAAAGAAATCAAAGGAAATAAGGCAAAAAAATATTTTAAAAATCTTTAATAAACATACCGAAGATTAAAATCAAATAAAATTAATTATTTCATTCTTATTATTTTATCGCATACCTATCTTTTTTTCACGATGGAGAAGTTTTTTTATAAAAATAAGTCTTTTTGTTTAAAAAATGTGGATTATGTAAAATTTTAAACCTTTTGAAATTTTGCTGATGTATACATTTTTTAAAGAATTTAACACATGTTTTGAAAATATGCTCTTCGAACCATCTATCTTTCTGAGAGTGGTCGAATATCATCAAATCTCTCCAGCACGTATATTTAAAAGATGTATAGGTACTTGCATTCATCTTTCTATTATAATAATATTTATAACGAGCGGTTTTCAAAAGTGCAGCTAGCTCAAGAGCTAGCTTTTTTAAATCGGATTAATTTATCAATTAATTCATTTACTTAATCTTCATACGTTTCTAACAAATCGTCTATTTTTTATTTCAGAGACTACAATCGTGCAGTTTTGCTGAATATTAATTCATACGGTGTAAATTTTGTTCCTTATTCATTTACGCTAGAGTTATATGAGAACATAAGGCCCATATTCATAGCCGAATCTTATTTCAAGACTGTCTTAGGCCGGTATTCATAGTCGGTTCTTATATTTAAGATCGTCTTAAGTACAATCTTAAGATGTCATTAACCAATCACAAAGCCGTATTAGCATCTTAAGGGCTCAGTCACAATGAGAAAAATAAGGAATAAGATAAAGGAATAAGGAAAAAGGCATGTTGCATCTCACTTTAATGTATATTGAAGTGAGATGCGACATTCCTATATTTCTATTCCTTTAGCTTATTCCTTATTTTTCTCATTGTGACTGAGCCTTAAGACATTACTTAAGCCGGTCTTAAAATAAGAACCGACTATGAATACCGGCCTTACTCTGATTCTACATTAGTCGTATCGTCGCATAATTCGTAAAAAATTGACCAATTACAGTCGAATTTGAGGAGAATAATCAACTGTGATTGATCAATTTCTTACGATTTATGCTACGATACGACCAATGAATACCGGCTATAGCATGCTCGAGTAAAGCTGCGATCCACTTGACACTACAAATGCTTCGAAGCATTCCTTTTCTCCTTTCTTTCAATGAAGAAAGAAGGAGAAGAAGAACGCTTCGAAGCATTTGTAGCGTCAAATGGACCGCGCCTCCAGTCGCATTCATTGAAAATATAATGCAGCCACCTTACTACATAAGTTATTGTTGCCAGCCAATCACGGAGTGGCTGCATGGTTACATGACCCGTTGGCGCCTCTCTCTCCTAGAGCATAGAGTCCTCTACTAGAGCACAGTCGAATCCCTCGAATCAGAGTCTGGCCAACTTGCAGTTCTGGCAAAATTCTGCGAGAGAGAATTAAGGATATAAATTCACTAGAGATCCTTGACCAGAGATTACGGACAATTACTACGTTTACGCGAGCGTTACTTCTGTAGTAACTTACGATAATTCCTTAGCGTAGTAGTAGTATCTGCTAAAAAGCGTACTAATAATTGTCTCTCGCGCATGGCCGAATCGCACAATCAACATATGTAGTATTATATATTATGTTCTGTGTGTAGTATGTTACAGCTGCAACATGCATCCATGAACTCAAAGGTCCGTGGTTCAATTCCGGCCCGGCCTTTATCCCACATATACCTCGTTTAAGAGGTGGTATGCCCATTTTAATGAGAAATTAAGGATTAAAGATCCATATGGATTAATAATCCGTTTAAGAGTTTAAAGAATTAGTGAAGTATTAAGGATTCAGTAGCATTGTGTCATATAGCCCTAAGGTAGAGCTGAAGGCACTTAACAAGGTGGTCCTTTCGTGAGAACAAGTATTAGATAGGTACCTAAATTTGATATATGTTAAATATACAGTAATAAGGGGCATGTGTACGAAAAATCAAGTAAGGTTACCGACACTTTACAAGAAATAAGTCATTCAAAATGTGCGTTCGCGGAGCGTGCCATTGTCATTCTATCCTTGTTTACATCTAATGAACGAGAAAGATAGAATGATGCAAATCGCCACGTCCGAGGTTTTCAACGAATAATACATGTACTTAGCGATCAGATGAATACATTATTCATGTCTTAAAATATTCCCTGAAGTTTCCGGATTTCGTACATACCTTGAAAATAAGGGCTTGCCGAATGTTTTGCTCTGATATATGAGGTTAAATAAGTAGTGGTCCAATCGCATATTGCTTTAAGGCTCGTCTACACGACAAGGCATAAAAGCGCGGCGCAAGGGCGCAGGCACAAACTCAAGCGTAGGCGCAAGATGTCTGCGCCATGCTCGTCTACACAGGAACACGCCTCATTATAACTTTCTTCCATGTTTTCAACGTTCACACTATAAGAGGTAAAGCCGGCGATGATACTTCTTCTTCTGGCACAAAAGTTTCTTCACGGATAGCATCGGCCATTGGAAATAAAAATAATTTATTTCTCCTGCGCCGTTGCGCCGCGCCGCTACGCTCAAGAACAAACTTCTTGCGCCTGCGTCTGCGCCCTTACGCCGTCTTACGCCTTGTCGTGTAGACGAGCCTTTACTCGTACTGTCATGCCTGACCTAACCTAAATCGAGTCCAACCGCACTATTATTGTGATATTTTTTTAATTAGTAAATAATTAAATACGATTAAATTGTGCGTGTAAAATCATATTATATTATTATAATTATTGGGATGTTGTGTAATGTTTGTCAATATGTTTGTTTTCAATTACCTCATGACGGACTGTTACTTGACTAGCTGGGTCCGCGAAAGGACCACCTTAATTTCTCTCATCCGAGGGATTTAAGCCTGATCTACAATGTGCTCTTTGCTTCCTGTTTTTTGCTCTTAACCTGTTTGCGACTATCCCGTATTTCGCAATTACGTCGCGTAACGCGATGTTCTTTGTTCTCTGTCGCCTAAGATAAAAATTGACGAACTTCAGAAGAGACAAGAAACATCACGTTACGCGACGGAATTGCGAAATACGAGATAGTCGCAAAGAGGTTAAGAGCAAAAAACAGAAAGCAAAGAGCACATTGTAGATCAGCCTTTAACCTAAAAAAAAAAAAATTTCGAAAAAACCATGTGTGCTATTGTTTGTTCTGTTAAAACCCCGTTAGTACTGAGTTAGTAATGAGTGAAATTCAGTATGAATGAAAGGAGGTGGATATCGTTGTTTCTTCAAAAGGCTGCCAAAGTGCAAGTAGTGAGAGATGAGGGATAAAAGAAACTTTGTTTGGATTCTCAAAAGATACAGAAAGGTTAGTTTATTATGTTACTTGTTTTTGTTTTCCACTTACTGTAGGCTTTTAAGGTCAATTGCATGAAGTGTTCAAATATATTAGACCAATTTTAAAATTATATCTATGCATTTAAAGTTGAGCTTAATTTTATTTTTAAACCATGTTCTCTATGATCAGTTTGTTAAACAATTAATGAAAATTAATATTTGCCTATGTTTCTATTTAATACGACCTAAAGTATGATAAATTTAATTGTTATTGGTATATAACAAAAATTTGGAAAACATAAAAACATAAGAAAGGCTATTGCTTGAAGGTCAAAATTGTGGGTATCAGCCTGCTGTAGTCGGGAGGAATTGATTTCAAAGACAGCCATACAACTTTATAATGGTTATAGTATTGTTATTAAATATATATATCTCTTTTTGATTTTATCGATTATCTTTTAAATTAGAGCCCGTCAATCAGCAATATGGCGATCTATTAGTCATTAGATCAAAAGCTTTCTTAAAGGCCTGTGTCCACGATGCTAGAACTTGGTCCAAGTTCTCGGACCGAGGAAAAGTTACTAAAACTTGGATATCGTGGACACACTGAACTTGGATGCAAAACTGAAAAGCAGTGAATATCAATAAAGTATTCTCTACTTCAGAAGAAAATTTACTTGTTTTGGTAAAGCAGCGAGAAAGTTCTCGCGAAATAAAGTATACTCTGCTTTAACAAAGAGACTTCAATTTATCAACAATTTACTGCGGGGATACTAAACTGACCCAAATTACCGACAATTGCAGGGAAGGGTCTAACTAGACTGCACAGAACTTAAAACAGTTGTTGTAGAATTGAAATACGAACAAAAACACATCGCGCGAGTGTTGATTTAAAGACAAAAATCGAAAAAAAATACATTTTTGAGCTGTCACCTACCGTAAACGTTTGCTTAATACAGGAGTTGTACAGTTTGTATGTGCAAAATAAGATACACGCGCCATTCGTATAATGTGAACAAAGAATACCACACATGAAAAACTAAGATTAATAATAACGTAAAAAAAAGTTTGACCCTTCACTACTATTTTGTGCAAAAGCACATGCAGGTTGATTAGGATAAGCAGTATTGCGTGTAGCGAGAGATGACGCAGCGATCGAACAAAGACAGATTACTATAGTTAAACAAGGACAGATATAGAGAAAACAGGATTAGAAATGTTGACATTATCGACATCGAGGAAGTTCGGCCTTTGCTTTAGGATCCCCTTAAGGGGATTCTATAGCGAAGGCCGAACTTCCTCGACGTCGGTAATGTCAACATTTCTAATCCTGTTTTCTATGTTATATATCTATGTCTGTCCTTGTCAAACCAGAGGCATCTGTCTTTGTTCGATTGCTGCGCCATCTCTCGCTACACGCAATACTGCTTATCCTGTCAACCTAAATGTGCTTTTGCTTAATAAAACTTCATTTTACGGAATCTTTTTTTTTAGACGTTGAATCTTAGTTTTATTTACACGATATTGTTCCTACATGTTGTCCCTACGTCGCCTTGGTGTCATTATATATATATAAACTGCAGTAATTTTGTTATTGTCGTCAGATGACAGTTGTATGTGCCCAAATTAGTAAAATTTTTAATTTTTTTTTGTTCCCGATATGAAATCGTACAACGCGATGTAGATTTTTGTGCGTACTTTAATTTTAGACCAAAAACTTGCAATTCTGTAAAGCAATTCAAAAATTCCTTAAAATGAAAAAATGTCGGTAACTACCGCCACTATAGGATCCCCTTAAGGGTCGACAGGAGTAAGAGTGAAGACCTCTGTTGGGTTGTCTTAGCTACGACTCGCTGCGAGTCCGTATTTTATTTATTATAAATTTTTAAGAGCCAAAATGGAAAATCCGGCTATGTACCGGGTTGCGGCTGATCTTACTGATTAAAACGAGCATAAGTTTAATGAGATTCGTTAATTAATTTGGTTAAACTTTGAGAAAAACCATTTGTAGCCGTGAACTACAAATGGTTTTTCCCAAAGTTTAGCCAAATTAATTAACGAATCTCATTAAACTCATGCTCGTTTTAATCAGTAAGATCAGTCGCAACCTGGTACATAGCCGGATTTTCCATTTTGGCTCTTAAAAATTTATAATAAATAAAATACGGAGTTAAAGTGCAGTTTAAAATGCACTTAGTGCATAAAGTGTACCTG